GTAAAAAGGTTCCAAAACTCCAAGTTTATATATTCTCCAGTTCAGGCAGGAATGCTTAGTCCTTCCCTCAGAGCGGGGAATTCCATAAAAGGGTATGAGGACAGGAACATCTACAGGCCTCTACTGCTAACAGTTTCTGGGAAATGGCATGGAAGGCTATAGAATACACAGTTTTGGGTTACACCCATACCATGGTGAACTGGTCTCAGCTGTCCTAACTAGGACAATCACATGTGGGATCATGAGGAAGGCTGAGCTTGTGATCCAGGGATCCATCCAGGAGCCAGAGGAACAGAGAGACCTGGAACAAACCAGGAATGCAGAAATGCAAGAAACCGTAAGAGCACCAGAGTCAGAGAGCCCCGTGTCTGCCTCGCACAGCCCCTCAGAGGGCAGTGAGGCCCTGCTGGACACAAAGCAGTCCATCACATGGGAGATCATGAGGAAGGTTGAGCCTGTGATCGAGGGATCCAGTCAGGAGCTGGAGGAACAGAGAGAGCTGGAACAAACTACGGCTACAGAAATGGTACCATTACTTACAGCAGAAAGGACAGAGAGCCCAGTCCCTGCCCCGCAGAGCCCCCCAGACAGCAGCCAGGATCTGCTGGACATGGTCTTTTGCCTCTTCAGGGAGATCATGAGGAAGGCTGAGTGTGTGCTCAGCTGCTGGCCGGAGGAACAGAGGGTCCCAGAACAAAGCACGGCTACAAAAATGATAACAATTCCAGCAGAAAGGACAGAGAGCCCGGTCCCTGCCCCACACAGCCCCTCAGAGGGCAGCAAGGCCCTGCTGGACACAGACCAGTCCATCACCCGTGAGATCCTGAGCGAGCCTGAGCTTGAGATCCAGGGATCTGGCCAGGAGCTGGAGGAACAGAGAAACCTGGAACAAACCATGGATACAGACACAGTAACAACAGTTCCAGCAGAAAGGACAGAGAGCCCAGTCCCTGCCCCACAAAGCCCCTGCTCCCCCAGCAGCCCCTCACCTTCCCAGGTGAAAGCCCAGGCCCTCAGCGAGCAGGAGGAGGGAGCAGGAGGGGACTCAGTCCTGGCAGTGCAAGACACTGACGAGGGGCCCTTCCCTGGGGAGGGCATAGGCTGGAAATACTACGTTGACCAAGACATTTCCCAGTGGGGAGATGAGGGAGACCAAGAGTTGTCCCAAGAAACATCAACACATACCAAGAAGTGTCCCGGGGGAAGACTGCACTGAGCAGGAGCTGTCCCCTGGAGAAGTCAAGAGCTACCAGGAATTGTCTGACTGGGAAGAACACAGCGAGGAAGAGGAGCCCCAAGGAGAAGTGAAGAGCTACCAAGAAGTGTCCGACTGGGAAGACTACACACCCTCCTGGCTGTCCCGATGGGAAGATGACAGCGACAGAGAGCTGGCACTGGCGGACTGGGAACACATGAGCGTCCCCAGCTTGGGGTCAAGCCCTTGCTCCCGGAGGAGGACGAGTGGGAAGAATTGAGCGTGCTGGAGCTGTCCCAAGGAAGGACAAGGCACAGAAGACAGGCTGAGAATTCTTGCAGCAGAGGGGCTCCCAGTGCCCGTCCCTCGCCAGGCATGGGCTGAGAGTCGGGCACCTGCCCCGTGCACACAAGTGCCGCTCTGCGCCTCACCTCCCCAGCTGGAAGCCCTGTCCCCCGGGGGGACTAAAGCTTCTCCTGCCTTCGACGAGCAGGTGCCATGGGCAGGGACACAGAGCCCGGTCCCTGCCCCACGCAGCCCCTGCTGCCCCCCCAGCCCCTCGCCGCCCCAGCTGGAGGCCCAGGCCCTCAGCAGGCAGCTGCCTGTCCCCACCAAACGTCTCTCCCGCTTCAGGCGGGCGCTCGGGGCTCTGCGCAGGCTGTTCCGCTCCTGCACGGCGGGACAGCCCCAGGATTAGGCCCCGCTCCAGCGCCAGGTGGGCCCGGACACCTCCGCAGTGCTTCCAGCACAGACACTGACACCACCACCCACCTGAGACACTGATTCCAATGCCTGACTGCTCCTGCAGGGAATGAACAAGACAGGACATTTTGCTCCCAGGAACTCCCTGCAGGATAACAACATACACGATTTTTGCCAAACAAACAAATATGCCTTAAGTCAATTAACTACTTTAATTAATTAATTAGGCTAGTTAAGTAATTAAGTAATTTAATTAATAATTATTATAACATGTAGTTATAATATTTAGATAGACTATTGTAGATTTACTTCGAAGATAGAGTTACATAAGATAGAAATACTATATTTACATATTATAATAATTACTATATTTCTAGGGCACATAGATAGATGTTTACAGTTAGACTATAGGAATTAGAGACAAGACAAGACATAAGATTAGGAAGATTTCCTGTAGATTCCATTTAAGTACCCATTCCCTCTACCTATCTCTTTAACTCACATTTATTGTTAAATAAAATCTGTGTTAAATAAAATCTGCATTTAATAAAATCCGCCTGTTTTGGGCAAATGGTCTCATTTACACCTTAATTCGGGCTGAGGCATCTCTCCCTAATGGGATCAGAACACCTGGGCAGGGACACCTTCCACCACACCAGCTGGCTCCAACCCCGTCCAACCCGGCCTTGGACACTTCCCACGGTGGGGCAGCCACAGCTTCTCTGGGCAACCTGGCCCAGGGCCTCACCTCCCTCCCAGGGAACAATTTCTCCCCAAAAGTCTCATCTCCCAGAGGTCACTCCCTGGGGCCAGGCTGCAGTGTGTTCCTCCCCAGCACTGCCTGCCTGCAGCAGCCTGGGCCGACACAGGAGGGCTTCCCCTCGGCCATCCCCTGCTGGAGCCGCCCGTTCCTGAAGGATTGAGCCAATGCAAGGGACCCACACTGGAGCGATTCCTTAAGGATGATCCTGTGGAAGGACTCCTGCAGCAGAAGTTCCCGGGGAACTGTCTGCCACAGGAGGAAGCCCACGCTGGAGCAGGGAAAGGACTCTTGGCCCTGAGCAGTGGCAGAAACAGCGTGCAATGAAGTGCCCATGAAAGCCATTCCCCTTTCCCAAGGTTATTTAGCCATATTTTACTTATTATTTATTTCTTGTGCCTTTTGAGCCCCAGGTACAACAGACTATCACGTTAAAAGTTGTTTTCTGTTGCAAACAGACTAAAAGCTTAGTTTGTTTGGGATAAAAAAAAATAGTTTTTTGTGGCGTATTGAGGCACGGACTGAGGGGGGTGAAGCTTAGACAATTTATTGGAGTCACAGCCCTCCTTTTATAACCCAACACCAGCAGACAATCATGCCTTATAAGGTAAAAGTTGTGACTGCAGCATCTGATTGGCTGTTAGCTGTCACTGCAGTTGAAACAGGAGTTGAAACAGGTGGTTCCCTGAATCCCTGTAACCAAGCCCCGACTGGGCTCTGCGTGTGGCACCGGAGAGGCGAGGGGCCCTGTAACACCCCTGTAAGTAATCCTTGTTATTTTAGTTGTATCACAGATCAAAACCTGCCTACCCTCCATTTATCATTCATAATTCCCGTGGGCAGAAGAGCCAAACTGGGGCTCCCAGGGAAGCAGAAGCCGGGAGGATGATGCAGGATACAGTGAATGAAGGCAACTGTGAAATGCAGAAATCCTCAGGGGAGGGCTGATTGCTTGGATCATCTCTCAGCAATCCCGGCTCCTGCCGCAGCCACGGCTCCTGCTGCACTGGCCATTCAGTGCAGGCCATGCCTGCAGGGCCAGTGTATGGGCACTGTGGCAGCACCAGGAGCAGGGGTTCAGAATCTGCCTGGTTTCAGTATTCCAAGTCCTCTGGGAGCACATGGGACAAGCCCCAAGACAAGGAGCCCGGGTCCTGGCCCTCTTGGCCCTGAACTCTGCGTGTCCAAACAGAACAGGGGCAGAGGTGGGACCAAGAGGAGTCACTCTGCACCTGCCCTGAGTTCATGGGAATGCAAAGGGAGGATGGACCTTGGCTGAGTGCTTGGAGAGACAGAAGGTTGTTTCTCCAAGTGCAAATGCTCTTTAACCAGCCTCCATGACCAACCTGTGTTGTTCTCTGGTGGCTGAACAGCCAGCACGTGAGGGGAGGGGAATGTGTGGGATCAGGGCACTGCTTTGGGGCCATGCTGGGAATTCTGATGGACTAAAAGACAAACACTGAGTGCTGCTCACGAGAGAAGAGGAATAAAAGGGGACACAGAAAAGTGTCGGCAAACAAGTCCTGAAATGGAACTCTGTGTGTGCAGCCTCATTTTATCCTTCAACAACCAAAGGAAAGGGGGTAAAAAGTGGGGGTTGGGAGCCCAAAACTGGTCGGGAGGAAAACGGGGATTGAGGGGACAATGGGAAAGTGGAAGGAACAGGGAGAAGGGTGGAAAAGGGAAGGTGGGCTGGTGGGTCCAACGGTCCCATGGGGGTCTTTGGGCACAGGGGGGTTGGCACAGGGGGTGGCCCCCCTGAGCTCCCAACTTCCTGTGGGGTGCTGGGGGCTGCTGGATCCAATCTCAGCCTTGGATCATACCAACAGTTTCAGTTTAGAGGAATTACAGAGCTGTGACTGAACCACTTTTGTCCCCCAGCTTTTAATGATGGCAAATCAGAACTATTGATAGAAATGAACTTATTTAGGGTTACAAATGATCAGACAGAAGATCTTCATCAGAATTATTTACTGCACAATAGAAACACTAAAACTACCAGGAGTACAGGATAAGACAGGACAGTGCTCTACACTAAAGCAATTGTTGAAGCAATTCTACTCAAACTGGCACAAAAGCAATAATTCTTAATTAGAGATGGATGGAACTCCCCCAGACCAACACTGGTGGGGAGATCTCTGCTCTCAACGTCCAGCAGTGACCTTGGGGGGTCCCCAGCCATGGCAGGAATCTCCACACACCCCCCAGGAAGGGTTCTGTTGGAAGAAGCTGCCCCTGGGAAAGGGGACTGGCCCTTTGTGGTTGAAAGGGATGGACTGACAGTCACTGGACTCCAGGGGTTGCTTCACCATCAGGGGCTTCATTCGGGGTGGAAGCAGCGGCCGAAGCTCTTCCTGCAGTCGGGGCACTCGTAGGGTTCCCCTTACTGGTGGGTCCGTTGGTGTGAGGTCAAGTTAGAGCTCCGGGTGAAGCTCTTCCCACACTCCTCACACTTGTAGGGCCTCTCCCCGCTGTGGATGCGCCGGTGGGTGATGAGGTGGGAGTTCCGGTTGAAGCCCTTCCCACAGTCGGTGCAGTGGAAGGGCCTCTCATCCCTGTGCGTCCGCTGGTGGATGATGAGGTTGGAGTTCCGCTTAAAGCCCTTCCCGCAGTCGGTGCAGCGGAAGGGCCTCTCATACGTGTGTGTCTGCTCATGCCTGAGGAGATTCCCACTGCGCTGAAACCTCTTCCCACACTCCCCACACGTGTAGGGCCGTTCCCCACTGTGGATGCGCTGGTGTCGGATCAGAGTGGAGCTGTCCCTGAAGCTCTTCCCACATTCCCTACATGTGTAGGGCCGTTCCCCAGTGTGAATGTGCTGGTGTCGGATCAGGGTGGAGCTGTCCCTGAAGCTCTTCCCACACTCCCCACACATGTAGGGCCGTTTCCCAGTGTGGATGTGCTGGTGTCGGATCAGGGTGGAGCTGTCCCTGAAGCTCTTCCCACATTCCCTACATATGTAGGGCCGTTCCCCACTGTGGATGTGATGGTGGGTGCGGAGGTGGGAGCTGTTCCTGAAGCTCTTCCCACACTCCCTACATGTGTAGGGCCGTTCCCCAGTGTGGATGTGCTGGTGTCGGATTAGTTTGGTGCTGTTCCTGAAGCTCTTCCCACATTCCAAGCACCGGAAGGGCTTCTCCCTGCTGGGAGGCTGCTCAGGGACCACCAGGTCAGAGCTCCCCCTCAAGCTCCGGCCGCCTTCCCGGCACAGGCTGGCTCTTTCCTCCTCAGAGCACCCTGGGCTGGCTTTGGAGCCCCTCCTGCGGGGGCATCTCCGGCCCTTTTCCTCCCCGCTGCCTTCCTGCGCCGGGGAGCCCTTCAAAACGGCCTCTCCCACCAGGGTCTCACGGGGGGATTTGTCCTCCGGGCTCTCCGGCCTCACCTCGGGGCCTGGGGCAGGAGGGAAGAAGGACAGGCAGGGGATTTGCCTCCGGCCCACAGGGAAGGCCAAGGACATCCCCCCAACTCCGGCCCCGGCCCAAAGGGACACTGACCTCCTCCTCACCTGCCTGGGGGGCCCAAGGCATCTTCCTCTTCCTCGCAGCCTCCTTCATCTGCCCAAGCTTTGGACAAATCCTGATGGGGGGAAAACAAGGGCTGAGCGCGTTGCCGTGGGGGTTCCTCCTGCCCAAGTCCATCTCTAGAACTCACCGGGCATCCTGTGACCATAAAAACCTCCAAAACACCAAGATTCAGCCCAGAAAAACACAAAGAACCCAGATGCAGCCAAAAAATCCCTCAGAAACAGTGAGATGAACCCCCCCAAACTACAAAAAGTTAAGATTCAGCCAAAAAATACTCCAAAATATGAAGACTCAGCCCAAAAAAAGGTGTTTTGTTGGGAGGATGAGGGGAGTGAGGTGCTTTCATGAGCTCTTGATTGAGTTGCTACATATTAATCAAAAGCTGTATTAAAGTAGTGTCACTTAAAACTCACCAGGGCTGTTCCTGGAGGTTCTCTGTCCCCCTGCCAGTCCAGGGCTGTTTCTCCAAACCACCAAACCAAGAGTGCCAAACGCCCTGGTTGGTCAGTGCCAGCTGGGGGAGCGGGCACTCGGTGAGGGGATGAGAAACCTGCACCCGGAGCTGGGCTGAAGGAGGCTTCAGCACCACTTCTGATGGCCCAGGGGCAGCATCTGGTTTCTCCCAAACAGAGAGAGGGCACTTGTTCTACTGCAGGGAGTCAAGGGCAGGAGGGTGACTCCTGCTGCTTGGATGGAATGGCAAAGGATCCCCTGGGTCTTCAGGATGGATCAGAAAACACGAATAGACACAAAAGGCCTTCCCCGAAGATTTCGGGGGGAGTGTCCTGTAGGGAGGGGACAGTGTCACCCCACCAGGGCAGGGCTGGCAAGTGGGAGGCTGCTCCAGGGCTCTGCAAGAGGCCTCGTGCTCTGCTCGGCCCCACCACTGGCTGGTCCCAACAGCCCCGGCTGCCCCGGCCCTGGGCAGCTCTGCTGCCACAGGCTGTGCCCTCACCGTGGCCCTGCAATGGCCCTGCCTGTCCCTCCCCCGGGGCCCTGCCCGTGGCCCTGTCCCTTGGCTCTCTCTCTGCCAGCTCAGTGTGGGGCACACGGGCTGGGGGTCCCTCCCAAGCCCCCCGGGCAGCCGGCGTTGGCTGGGGGGATGTGAGGGCTGGGCCTGCTCAGCACAGCCCCGGCCTCGTGCCCAGTGCCTCTTTCCTGCCCCACACAAGACCTTCCCGGCCCCCCCAGGGCTCCCCTGCTGCTGCCTCTGCTCCTGGCCCTGCCTTTGCTGCTCCCTTGCCTGGGGCAGCGGCTGCAGGGGGGGATGGCAGCAGCTTCAGCTCCACGGCACTTCCTGGGGGGAGCTCAGCCCGGGGGGACGGGCAGGGACCTGATGGGGATGGACAGGGGCCCAGCAGGGACAGCCAGGGCCTGCAGGGGAAGGCACAGGGACAACCTGGCCCCCCACACTGCCAGGGCTGTCTCTGCTCCTCCTTGCAGGCTCCGTGGCCAGGCACAGTTGGTGTTCCTGGGTGCCCACCATCTCAGCACTTGCAGCCGCTCAAATCAGCACCCGCAGCTCTGCAGCAAAGCCCCAGCTCACCTGGCACACAGGGGATGGACACAGCACCTGCTTGGGGATGGGCACACACAGCTTTGTGCCTTCCCCACCACGGGGCTCTCCTTCCTCAGCAGCACCTCTGCCTTGCACTTATTCTCAGCCTCACCTCTGGGCCTGGGCTCAAGGACAGGAACCTGCAGGGAGGGGACATCAGGTGCAAGCTGAGGGCTGCCTGCTTGCACTGGCCTCTGGGCTTCTTTCTCCTTCTACAACCAGCCCAGAACTCAGCCTGCTTTTCTAACACCACACATTTACAGACTAACCTTGCAGATAGATATGGACAGACATCTCCATCACCCTGGGGATGGAGCCTCAAGCATGTGCTGCCATAGGAATGGCAATCAGAGAATCACAGAATCAGCTGGGCTGGAAAAGACCTCCGAGATCATCAAGTCCAGCCCTGGATCCAATCCCGCTGTGCTTCCCAGACCATGGCACTGAGGCCACATCCACTCTCACCTTCAACACCTCCAAGGACAGGGACTCCACCCCCTCCCTGCCCAGCCCATTCCAAGGCCTGATTACTCTCTTGGCAAAAAATTGCTTCCCAATATCCAACCTAAACCTCCCCTGGCACAGCTCCAGACCCAGCCCTCTTGTCCTACTGCTGCTTCCTGGCACAACAGCCCCACCCCCACCTGGCTACACCCTCCTGGCAGGGACTTGCAGAGAGTCAGGAGGTCTCCCCTGAGCCTCCTCTTCTCCAGCCTCAACACCCCCAGCTCCCTCAGCCTCTCCTCACACCATCTGTGCTCCAGAGCCCTCCTGCCTTCCAGCACATCAACACACCCCCAGCTTGGGGTCACCTGCACATTTGCTGATGAAATGCCTGGTTCTGCAGCAGCTGCAGATGCTCAAGGGGCAGCAGGACCAAGTCAGGGGCCTGGGGGGGCCTGGGGGGCTTTGGGGTGTGGGAGGGTCCTGGGGGAGCTGGGGAGGGGCTTTGGGGATTGGGGGTACAAACCAGGACAGACCAGTACAGACCAGTACCTCCTCACTGCTCCCCACATCTCTCCTGGAGCTGGGCCACATTGTTGTGGGACACCTGAGCCCCCCCCAGTGCCCTCCCAGTACAGCCCAGTGCCCCCAGTACAGCCCACTGTGTTCCTGTCCCAGGGTGCCGGGTGATCCCTCTTTGGGGAGGTTGGAAGGGATTTGAGGGGGGGGCTGGAAGAGATTTAGGGGGATCTGGGAGGGGGGACTTGGATAGGAATTTGGGGAGTTTTGGGGTGCTTTGGGTGCATTTAGGGGAGTTAAAAGGGGTCTTGGGAGGTCAAAGGGATCTGTAGGGGGAGGGGATTAAAAGGAAAATGGGGGTTGGGAGACATTTGGGGTGGTTAATGATGTCTAGGGGGAAAGAGGAGGAGCAGCACCAAGAGCAGGTGAGTCCTGAGACCCTCCTGGGGTTCCCAAGACCTTCTTGGTGTCCCTAATTCCCCCCTTAACACCCTGAGACCCCCCTGGTGTCTCCAATGTCCCCAGGGCCTCTCCATGGCCATAATTCCCCCTAATTCCACTGTCCCCATACCCCACCCCACTGTCCCCAAACCCCAACCCTGATGTCCCCAACCTTCCATCTCACCCCAGGAGCCCCCCCTGGACCCTCTGACACCAAAAACATCCCCCCTCCCGACCACACTCACAGAAAGGCCAAGGGCATCTGGGGACACGTTGGGGACAGTTGGGGGCTTTGTGTGGTTCTGGGGGATTACTGGGGGATACTGGGACACACTGGGGGGAACCAGAGAGCACTGGGAGGACTGGGGGGTTACTGAGGGACACTGGGAGGGCACTGGGAGGGTCTGGGGGGGAACTGGGGCACACTGGAGGGCACTGGCAGAGAACTGGGGAGTTACTGGAGGATACCAGGACAACGGGGGGGACACTGGGAGGTTACTGGACCATACTGGGGCTTACTGTGTGCTCACTGCAGGATCAGTGGGCCATCCTGGGCGACAGTGGGAGGTCACTGGGACACACTGGATGGTCACTGAGGGGGTTACTGGGCCATACTGAGGGTAACTGGGAGGTCACTGGGATATACTGGGGGCACTGGGATCCCCTTACCCAGATGTGGTACATCTCCCCCTCCGGATTTTGGGGGGCATCCCTAGGACCCCTCCCCTGGGGGCTGGGGGACCCCTTGAATCCCATTGCTGGGCTTTAGGGGACCCCCTAAAATCCCCTCAAAACCCCTGAAATTCCTCCCTCGA